GTTATTTGTGCTAAAGATGATACAAGCTGGAGAGTTTGTACTGCTGAAGGTAAAAGTGATTTTCTGTACCTCCTCAGATTTTTTTGGTGTGTTTTAATTGTACTCTACACGCTGAACATTTTTTTTCCTGATAAAAGATACACTTTTAGAATACATCTTGATATGACATCATATACTCTTGTTTTTATGAAGAGAGTTTACCACTTACTCTCTTGAATTATGTTTGTTTGAGACAAAAATGGTTGGTGCATTAGTGGCCATGATGTCAGGGTTTTTCTTACTGATTTTGAAATGTTTCTTCTGGGCTCTCTGATTGGTTGAAGTGGTAGCATTTTGAGCCTTGGAAATTAATCTCCTGTGTGTCTATTGGAAAGTGAAGCTTCAACTTCAACAGCACCAAAATGTCAAAGATTTTCTTCATCTTCCTCTTTCTCTTCATTTCAGGGTCAGCAGACTAACAGTAGATGACCCAGTGAAGCACACTGAGAAGATACCAGTTTTTATCAACATCACCCTGCCCAAACTTCCGTGTCAATGTAAGTTGGATTTCCAAGTGTACACAAAGATTTTTAAAAGGTTTTATCAATAGACAATGTCACATGATAAAATGCTTAGGCTGAATAAGTCGGAATGTAAAGGAATTCAAACTCCAACCATGGAATTATCTCTGTCTGGAGGAAGTCAATCTAAAGTTTAATCATTAGCCTCAGTACTGAGTTAGGGCCTTGCAACATGCTGTCAGTCTCAAAATGCAGGCTATGACAAACTACTTGGAGGATGACGGTGACCTCTCAAACAGTGGTGGTGCATCATCTACAAGTACCGCCATACGAACTCGGTGTGTGTGATTTTGTGGAAGTGGAAAAGTGTGAGTTACTGCGTGCTTTTTGCTTTAGAACACTTACAAATGTTTTTATTTTTCTCCCTTTATATAATATTTCATTTTTGGTAAATAGTTTCGAATAATGGTCTAGTAAAAGCCTAACAAATTTGCTTGTGTTCTCCTCTACTCAGATGTTGGACTGGATATCCAAGATGACATGGGACGTCATGAGGTTGGCTTTAATGAAAACACTGCAAAATTCCCGCTGAATGAAGAAAAAGGGTGTCGATTTGAGTCAAACTTTTTGATTAATAAGGTTTGTAATAAAATCATCTTTATGATCCACTACCACACAATAGGGGGCAATTTAATCAAACTTCTGCATCAAACATGGCTTTGAGCTGTATAACTAAATGTTAAAGGTTACTGGATAGACAACTACAATAACTTCTTTCACCAGCCCTGAACCAGTGTGCAGTTATGCTGTGGTGTAGAGAATATGCGCCTTTCTGTCTCACATGAAACATGTGAGTTTGATTCACATGTGAGGACGTTGTAATTGAGTATCTCCATCTGTCTATTGGGACATTGTGTCTCCCTCTCAGTATGGGTTGGCCCTGGCAGGCGGGGTTGAAGCAGCCCGCCTCGTAAAGGATCTAAATAGTGCCAATGGGGGTTAAGATGCCGACAGTTACATTTTTTTGTGATTACGCTTCTCTTTTTTCTAAGTAAGAGGAGGCTAGGGATGATACCACTGATAGGTCCTATTTCTTTTCTTTCCATCTATTATTCTATCCATCTTCTTTGTTTTTCCCCTGCCCTGTATAGTCTTTGTTGTGCCGATGTGCTTCTCTTCGTACAAAGTTGACTCTGAGAGCTGCTGGTGGTTGGTAGACCCTCTGTTGTGGTCTGCTCCTCTTATTTCTTTTCTGTCTTCCCATTGACCTGCTTTGTTCTTTTCCAAATGTAGTCACTCTCATCCTTACAGGCCTTGTCTTAGACTCTAATTTATGTGTAGAGACAGTGAATGCCATAATATAAGGTTCATAACATAATACTTGTCCCAAAAATGACACTTGTATGGAGTTTTTCTTATATTTTGAATACATGATGCTATGTTCTGAGCTCATGGTTGTTTTAAAAGCTATTGACTGTCCTTTTTGTCCAGGCCCCCAACATTTAGTTGCTACAATTCCAGTACACCTGTGGTGTAATGGTTAGGCTTTTTGCCATGGCCGTTGCATACAAAAGACACAAGCCAGATTTGCAGTTGCGAAAGTTATCTTATCGAGTTTCTCCATCTGTTCTCATGGATGCTCTTTCACTCTCTGCATTGGTTGGCTGTGACAGGTAGAGGCAAAGCAGTCTGCCCCCTAAACGGTCAAAGTTTGTTTGAATTGGGGCATAAAACATTAACGATGATTACAATCCGACATAAGTTTTGTATCTTGGGTGGATGCAAGTGTTGGACTCTGGATAAGGTATATAGTATATGAATATTGAATGGGTTGTGATCTTTTGACTGGGGCTAAAATGTTTAACTTATTATCTGGTCTGTTTGGACTGTCCAGTTATTTTTTGTCTTGTTGAGTTGTTTTTTTACCAATTGTATTCTCTACTGCTATTTAAATTATGTGTGGTTAGTGGGTACTGTGATTTGATCTGCTCCTTCTGTTTGAAACTCTTCTTTGTTTTGTTATTAATGTGGGGAAAGACCAGGACAATGTAGGTTTTTGTAGAGCAAGTGAGCAGAGAAATGAAGGATGGACCATGATGGCCAGTATCTGTTTTAACGTCTTGTACTTCAAGAAGAAGAATTATCCTTTTCTGGTGCTGGCAGACTGTAGTATTCATTGTGCTGACTTGTTCTGAACTGCTATCTATTTATAACTGTTTCTAGTAAAACCATTTATATTGTGTGCTATTTTTTATGTGACATAGGCTTTCGGGTTTTGACTTTATTATCTCTTCCAGTATTTGTTATTTTCCTGATGCCTGGTACTCATGCCGTTTTCTGTCAAAGAAAGGGTTCATTGTTTAAGTCTGTATACAATTACAGCATCATCTTTCATTCTGTCAGGTTCCGGGAAATTTCCATGTGTCCACACACTCAGTTCGAGGGGGACAGCCTGATGTTGTTGATATGTCTCATGTCATCCACAAGTTGCGGTTTGGCATGGAGCTTGCCGAAGGAAAGGTGAGGAGTAGATGCAAGTTGTTGTTTAGTGTAGGTTTTCTATTTGTAGTAGTGAGTTTTAAACATTCATGCTCATATATCATTGGCTGAGAGCCAGAAATGACAACATCCAGTTTGGCCCAAATAATAAAATAATTTTAAAAGCGAAATAAAGGCATTCAAAAGATGTTCCACCAAGTCCGTTAATATCAAACAAATCTGCTCATAGTTTTGTCATAATCACAGTTCCCAAATTGTTTATGTCTAATTGTTTCCTATTTCTCCCTTTTCTCCTGGTCATTAAAATCTGTTTTCCTCTGTCTGTGTGTAAATGGCAACACCATATGAAGTTAAAGGCCTGATGGTTGGAGGAACAGATCTATTTCTGTATCTGTGTGTCCTGCATTCTCTTCATGTTTCATTGTCTTTTTTGCCTCTTCCCTGTATTCTACGATTATCCAACTGTGCTTTTGAAAGTATGTGTAACTAGTCATCATACTGTGTATCATCTTATCATGAACAGTAATCTCATCCGGCGAGGTGGTGTAGGAGAATGATGTGAAGGAAGGACTAGTGTTCCAGTCCCACACAGCCATTCAGTTTCTCACAAATGAACTTCTGTTTTTAAAAAATAATTTTGGTGGCGGGAGTGTTTTTCTCTTGTTTACTTTGTTCTCTCTTTTTTTTCTCTCCAGACTGTAGAAGGGTCTTTCAATCCGATTGAGGAATTTGATAAGTCCAATGCTCAAGGTGAGTTCTAGAATGAATCTCTTGGAAAGTAAAACATTATTTTGACATGAAGTATGAGCAAAGTAGGTAATGTATTTTTTTTTAATGACTGAAAAGGTGGAACTGGAATCCATGGTGTATACCTTTTTTTGAATTATATTTTTTTAAACATCTGGGTTTTTTGTTTTTTTTACTGTCAGGTTCTCATATCTCACTCGATCTAATCTTAAGCTGGGGTTTTGATAATTTTAAGTTGGTCAAATGTGTGCGACGTAAGCTTCGTTGATTGGTAACTCCTCTATTTTATCTGTGCACGTGTAGCTGTTGGTCCCAGAGTTGAACAGGCCTCTCTTGGATCATTAAAGATTTTGATGGTATGGAGGTTAAATTTTTGTGTGTGTTTAGAAGAAGACAGGTAACCAGGTTGATGGTGATTCTTTCTTTCACCCGTGTTCTGTGCCATTGTACAGAGGATGCAGGAGTTCGATTTGGAATAGGGAGGGTTTTACATCGATTATCCCCAAGTGCAGGGATATTGTAGGCCTATTCCTTTCAGCCCGGGTTGGCCCTGACGAGCAGGGTCAAAGTATCTCACACATTAATGGATCTAAATTGTGTGGATGTGGATATGAAACCTGTACAATTATAATCTTTATCACTGTATAGTCACTTTTGCTGAGTTTTGAGCCACAAGGAGAAACCTGTACGTATGTTTTATCTATTTCAGGGGATGAAACTCATGACTACATTTTGAGAGTAGTTCCAACAGTTTATGAAGACACAAAGAAAAATATTCGGTTCCCATACCAGTACACATTTATTCACAGGGTAAGGTGTACATGTTATCTTTCCATGTTATATATATTGTTATAATGAAAGGTAGTTGAATTAATGTTAATGTTAGAAGTGCTGTTATAAGACAGTTTAAGATCCTGTGGATATTTAAAATCTAGTACGCACGTAACCTTTTCTTTATGGATAAATTTTACTGTGTGCAAATTTCATGGAGATACCAAGGCAGATAGACGAAGTTGGACAATAATTGAATCAATATGTTACACGAATTATGCTGCTATACCACGCCAACATATGTATATTTATTTGGGTTCGTATTTGTTGGAATGTTGTGCAGATTTTAGTTTTTGATGGAATTTTTATCCACTTTTGCTAGGATCAGCCATTTTTCCTTGACCAAGAGCCTTTCTGCTTCTTCTGCTTTGGGCCATGGTCCTCTTTCTACTACAACTTCACCTATAGTGCGGTCAAAATTTTGTAACGCAACATATTGTCAAATATTTCCTCAACTATCGAATACAAAGTCTCCAGTTTTTGCACAATGACTTGCATCAATTTGTGTAAACAGATCAAAACTATTGTAAATACCTGTCAGCTGTATTCTAGAAAGTTCCTTATTAAAAACCCCTGTAGTTGGTTTTGACAGATTTTAAAAGGTTTACGGCTGGGACAATAACGCTTTTAAAAGGAAGTCTGTCTTTCTTTTTTTCTAATCAGAGCATTAAGCTTAAATTGGACACATGTTTTGAGAAGCTTTTGTGCAAAAAAATGTTCTCTATAAAATTAATTTCTTTTAACATGTTGTTGCCAATAAAACTAGTGATCGGTGAGCTATGACCTAGATAGGTTGTACGCTTATGCAACATGTGTGTGAGAAGTGGAAAGTGCCATGATGTAAAACTCACTAAAACTAAATCTTGCACCATACTGGGTCAGACAAATACATCTTACTGGTTTTCTTCTTCCTTTCCAGGAAATTATGCAGATAGGCCATGGTGGGAGAGGGCTTCCTGCCATTTGGTTCCGTTATGAGTTGAGCCCCATCACAGTTCACTATGTTGAGAAACATCAGCCTTTTTACACTTTCCTTGTTATGGTAAGACCATTTTTTTCCAGCTGAGAAAAATTGTATTGTAGCTTGCTTTTAAGTAGCTGAGCCATAGTGGTGTAGGGAGCCATTGACACTTATTAGTTACAGGTGAGTGCAAAGGCTGCGCTAAAAAAACGAGCAGCCTGCTTTGCAAGCGGTGGGTTAACTCTTTTTATCCTGGCCGTACCCCCGCAAATTCTGTCCCCGTCTTGGAGCTGCCGCACCGTATGAGTTGGAATTTAGGGTGTATAAAAGTGCTCTATTTCTTATGTTTACTCTTAGGTTTTAAGGAAATTTGGCAGTTATGTTAGAAATTGAATGTAGTTTTTGTAAATGTATGTGGTTAGGTTATACACTAATTGCAGAATGTAGATTTTGAGGTGTATTCCACCCTCCAACTTGACTCTGATTGCTGCGCACACGACGTCCCATTGGATTGTATAGATCTAGCCCTACCCATCGATACAGCAAGAATTCCAGTACTGACCTTTTTACCGTGATCTGAATCGCTATTAGATGGGTCTAAGTCCTGTTTGTTATCATCAACAACGGAAGTTACGGCACTTGATCAGAGTCACTTTCATCAAATTAGTACCATTCCCCCCCCCCCCCCCCCCAAAAAAAAACCCCAGCGCCACTTCAAAAAGTACTTTGTCGGTCGTGAACGGGCGTTTTTGAGACATCTTTCAAGCTTCTACACCCGTCAAAAACAAAGAAACCGCTGTTCATTGGAGAATTTTAATATTCAGACAGAGCTAGCATCGCCGTATTTGCGTATTTTGGTAATTACAAGCAAAACTATCTTCTTTGACGTGACCGTATAGCTGTTCCGAGTATACTCGTAGCCCGGATAAAGAGAGTTAAACTATTCATTAATACTATTACCTGGGGGCTCTCGTGGCCTAGAGGTTAAGGTGTTTTCCTCTCATTCAAAGGTCATGGGTTTCGTATCGGGATAGTGACAAAATTTTCTTCTAAAAAAAATGTTCTCCTTTCACATCCCTTCTTGCTCTCCGACGTTCTGTCATCTGCTTTCGTCTCTACTTTCTGCTCCACCCCTGCACCTCCTTTGTCCCCCTCCTCCTTGGCTCATTCTGACTGCTGTCTTTCAGCCACACCCCTGATCTTCTGGTAGGAAAGATCTTTATATCTAGCCTTTTTGGACAACGGCAAAAAATCTTGGAAGTCCTGTGTGCAAGTTGCGCTCGTTAAAGATCCCTTGGTGGTCCAAAATTGATAAGAGTAGGCTTTGGCCGCTACTAGGGCAACATTCAAAAATTTCGTACCAACTGTAAATGTTTAATGTGTCCTGAGAGCTTGTATGATCTTATGCGACTGCAAGCGCCTAAATCACTCCCCCCCCCCCTCCCCCTGAAAAAAGACTATGAGTGGCTGCGTTACAGGCTAGGCCTCTATCATAGGGTCATAGTGAGTTCTCAATAGGCCTAGATCTAGGCCTACTGATTCATTGCCGAATCAAGGAACAGGCTCGGGTGGTTGGAGGGCACCACTGGTAGGTCCCACTTCTTTACCCTAATTTATAGACATACATTGGCGTATGAGAGCTGCTCAAATTTGATTAAAAATAAGCATCATTTCAAAATACTGCATGGTTTTTCGCCAGTCATGGTAAAACCTCTACTTATATTATCAACTGATGGTGTGCCACCTGACCTAAGTGCTATTTCCCAATGGATGTGAATGTGGGAGTAGCAGGCAGGGACTGGGATATCCTGTTTCATGTGATCACCCAAGGGCTCTCATGCACTTAGAGAATCATAGTAATTAAACCTGGCAAATTGGTGTGCGGAGGTAAGGTTGTTGAAAAGGCGGAGACTTGTATTGATGCAAGATTTTATTGAAAAACTCTTTTTCTTTGCTGTAAGTTGTAAGGGTTTGTATTATTTTTCCAATTACAGTATAACATGGATAGGTCGAATACAGGAGACTTGAAATCACGCATCCGTCAAACTGTGCCTGTGGTTCAGTTATTTTTTTCTTTCTTTATCTTTGTGAGATATCCCTTGTACTACGGATCTTTCGAATTATGGATCCCTCGAACTGCCGAGACCGGTCCCGCCGAATTCGATCTATCTGTGTTATACTGTATTTATCAATTTGTCTGTAATTAGTCCAAATTGCTGGTAATATTGCTTCATTTATTTTCAGATTTGTGCCATCATTGGAGGTACCTTTACAGTTGCAGGGATCATCGATGGCCTTGTTTTCTCAGCCTCTGAACTTATCAAGAAGGCTGAAATAGGAAAACTCAGCTGATCATCTCTTGGAAAATCGATGGCCCAGACAATATAAAGGAAATTATTTTAAGTCTTAAGAAAATCTAGTTGAAATTGTCCAAGATGGCCACCAATTGTTGAGCAGAAAAGTGGTTGTCTTCGACAGGTGGACATCTTGGACAGTGTGATTTTACTTTTTTTTTAAACGCGAGGGGGGGGGGGGGTGTTGGAAAGATTATTTTTACAGGGGCTCGATGTTGTGTCTTTGGGAGATGCTCTTCACATGAATTTTTCTCACTTCATCAACTCTTGTCCAAATAGGTTCTCAATTTAGCATTGCCGACTTCAGCTCGTCTGACAAAATAGCAAGACAAGTTACAATTTCCTTTCTTTTTTGAATCTCAAAAGCAGAAATTCATGCTTTGGATGCAATAAATGGTAATTACCATAAGTGCAAGGAAACGCCTAAATTTAGTAAGTTGAAAAGTTACCAAAGTTAAGTCATTCCAGCTTGAGCAGTGACAGAGAGCTGACTCCCATGACCCTGGCATGATAAGGTGCTCAGTGGAAAACCCCCCCTCTGCTATTAGAATTCCACTGCTGGTGTGCCGTGTAGAGCGCTGCAGTTCTAGAAATTTTATACAATTGTAGGTGGGTGGATGAACTTTAGTTGTTACACTCTTGCTTTTATTTGAATTAAAATTTATGCCTTACCATTGTTATCCAAATTGTTGACTGTGAAAAATGATATCATGAAAAGAACCCATTTTGAGAAATGTGTGAAACAGAACCATGACGCTTGGGTATGTCAATACAAACAAGAAAATCAAAACTGCTAAATGAACATGAAATAATTTGCATGTGCAGGACTCTACTGACTCAAAACCTTTATTGAACAAGTCTCTCCAGATTGTGTGGTATATTCTCGCCATGAATGAAACCAGAAAAGGTGCTCAAGTGTCAAAAGAGATTGAGATAAAGGCTGCACATACTAGGAGTCAACAAGACGCACTGCATACAGACTGGACAGAAGCAGCATTGAACTCAGGTGGGGGGGGGGGGGTGCAAATATATTGTATTTTGGTAGGAAAGACAAACACCATGTAAAAGTCATAATCAAATCTACGCCCCAACAAATAAAACTTCAGGTAAAGACAAGGATGCCTTTAAGAGCCTACTCCCAGGCCATTCACAAACTACCAAGGAAGCAATCAATATCATAATGGGAAATGCCAATGCCAATATTGATCAGGACAACGTAGGTTACAAGGACATAATAGGAAAGCATGAGTTTGGACAAATGATCAAGAATGGTGAACGATTTGCATAAATCTGTGCTTTCTAAAGTTTTGTCATTGGAGGTTCTGTTTTTCCCGACAAGAGGATCCACAAGGCTACCCTTGGAGAAGAGTTGCAGAGAATGATGTACAGAAACGTGGGAAGACATGAAATAACATCAAGAGGCTAGTCTAGGAAGGGGAAAGGTGGAAAATATTTGTTCATGGCTTGTACCCTGATCCAGGATGAGAAAGGCAATGAGGATGATGAATTTGTCTGTGCATTGAACAAGAACTCTATAGAGGTGTGTATGCCAGTGGTATGTGTTGTGCCTGTCACTGCCGAGTTCTGTTAATGAAGTTTTCATGACCTCATTTGTTGAGAGGCAGCTATGATAATAACAAGATTTAAAAGAATTTTCCTGCCTAGGCTAAAAAACTATTCTCTTGAACTGTTCAGAATCATCAGGATTATGATTTTCTGTATGTGCTGGTTTTTTGTTTGTTTTTTAACTAGGATTTTTTTATAGCTACAAAAAAATTTTTTAATCCTCTTTTTCCTGTTCTGGGGGGTGTAGTCAAATCCACTCTCATTCGTATTTCTGAGATGTTTCATATTTTTTGTGACTATCCTAGGTCAAGGGCTGATTTTTTTTACTTTCACTTGTCATTTTTGAGAAGTTTGTAGTTTCTTTAAATGGTAGTGTTTTATTAATATTAGCCTTTGTGGTTCTGTTCAATGCTCCTAGGCATGTTGCTTGTTGAATTGAATCCCTTGTCAAAGATTGGGGATTGCAGACATTTAACAAGAGCAAAGATTTACCCTTTCTGTGCTGTTAACTGCATTCACATTATGTGGTTCTTTTATTAATCATTGTTAACTTTCTCCCAAAAATGTGAAAGGTCAGTACGTGCTTCAGCTGTTAGAAAACACCATTGCGAGGACCAAATTTGGCAGAAAAAGTTGGAAAGTTGGCAACATTTCTAAAAAAATGTCAATGTAATTTTCCTATTTTGTCAGTGCGCTCATTTGCAAACATATCAAATGCTTGTTTTGAAGATGCAGTCGAAATTCTCCAAGAAGGCCACCCATTGATCGAGAGAAAATTGGTTGCCTGGGTTGACAGTGTCATTATATCTTTCTTTTTTTTTTATTGCAAAGGGGGGGGGTTTGTACAGGGGATTGTCTTACACAGGTGGTCGTTTGTACAGGTGATTGTCTTATACGGGGGGGTGTTTGTACAGGGGATTGTCTTACACAGGTGGTCAGTAGGGCAGGTCTGACTGTATATTTTTCTGTTGTTTTTTATTAGGTCAGAGACCTGTTAAAGTCAGTTCTATACTCAGTTGAGGTGGATTCCCCTGTCATTTATAAGATCTTTGTCTTTTTACCTTTTTTCTGTGAATTCAACATTTTTTAGTTTGACCGGGAGGGTTAACATAATACATTGAATACAGACAGGTTTTTCCCTCACCTTTAGTTATCTTTAATGCTAATATACAGTGTGGGTTTTCAGCGTGTTTTTTTAAGCTTTTCAGGTTGTTTGAAGGTTTTTTCAAGTGATACTTTTCGGTTACAAATGTTGTTTTCCAATTTTAGTGATACCTGCATTCCTATACTGGCTGTGGACTTCAGCAGCTGTGCTATATTAATAATGTGTTCAAAGATCAATGCTTGGCATGTGTGTTGGCTAATTGAATGCCTAAGCATGGTTTTCTAAACTTGACTCACTCATTTTATATGTCGGTTTAATTTGGAGAAAAGGTTTTTATGCATTCCAAGATCAAAGAAACGCAACTTATGTTGGGTCACTGTTACCTCAGTTTCTCTTGTGGTTTTTAGAAAATATGTTTTGTTTAGGTTGTAGACAAGGATTTTGCATTTGAGCAACTGAGATATGTACTTAATTTTATGTTTGATGAAGCTGGAAATAGTGGGGCAACTTTAGCAGTTATCTCTGCAGAATGACATCTTTTTTTTGTTCCCATTATTGTACCTTAACTGTGTTCCACAAGCCCTATTTGACAGTTTATAGACTCTCATTATGTACAGTAATTGTTTATAAAAAGATTTTTTTTTGCAAGTTTTTTAAAATTTAAATTATTTATTCCTTACTGATAATGCCAACTAAAAACTCATGACAAGTTAATTAGAAACAAAAAGTAGACCTTTTGCTTTCTTTTTTGACCAAACTGTAAATGCAACAACAGTAATGCCAAACTTTGGCAATATTGTTGTTGCATTTAAGTAAAGATTAGGACAACATGGTAAAATTACTAGAAAAGCTTTTGAAAGTGTTGGCCTAGGCCTACTTAATTAGTGCTTAACACTGGAACAAGTTTTAATTGTCATAAAATCATGTTAGAAAGGGAATTGTTTCTTAAACTAGACCTGTATTATGACTTGCCATTTCTTCGAACCACAATCAAAGTTGTTTTCTTAAAAGGATTTTATGTTGTTTTTTTGTAACAATAGACAATTTACTATTGTGTATTGCTTAAACCCCCCCCCCCCCCCCCAGGCTATTACATAAAGTTTTTTAAAATATTTACCCTCATCAGTATGTTATGTTAGTTGTTACAGCCCTTTTGCTATTTACCATTAAAAACAAGGAAACAAAATCAGAGAAACGGAGGTTTGCAGTAAGGAAGGCTATGTATAAGTAAAAAAGAAATTATTCTGAAGGAATATTTCTGTCTTCCTATGCTCTTCCATGATCTGTTTACGGCATACAACAGGTCCTTTGCTATGACAACAGTCTAGATCAGTTCACAATGCTTGAAAATCTCCAAAGTTTAAATTGTAAACATTGTCCAAACTCAACTGTAATGATCTGTTCTTAGTTGTTTTTTTTAAATGGTGGTGGTTTTAGGTTTGTTGGGTTTTTTTTTACTTTGAGGACCACTGTCTGCATACAATTCATATATATGACAATTGTTGAATAGAGAAGAGGCTTTTTTTTGTGCATATATTTAATTTATGGTTCACCTTTTTTAGGTCATTAAAAAAAATCTTGTTTGAAAAGTAGGCCTACTGTATGTCTATGGTCTTGTTCATAACAGAGTAATGAATTTGCTGGTTAACAAAACTGTGGTGGAAAGACTGCTTGTAATACTTGTATTCTCAGTAATAATATAATATACACTCCATGTTACATGTTAAATCTACTGTGGTAACTTCTGTAACAACTGTGGGCAGTCCTTTTTTATAAAAGACTGAAACTTAAAAATATCGAGCGAAAAGAAACAGACTAGTGCTCTCAGCACCTCATGATGTAGGTGCAATTTTAAGTTGTATGAAGAAATTTGTTAGAGTCGACACGCTTGTTGCCTGTGCTGTCTCAGGCACAGGTGTTTGTTGTATAATCCCAGGACGATTATTAACTGTTATCGGTACCCACCTCTGCCTTTGCCATATCTTTTTTTAATACCCGAGTTTTCATACTTTTTTTTGTGTTCTTGCGTTTGTATTCTTTGTGTTCAGTCTTTTTGAATACCGGTTGGGTTGTTTTGGATTTTTAAAGATTTATTTATACGGGGGTTGGGGTTTGTTGTAGTATGCAACATCTTTGGTTTTTGTTCTTTTATAGTTCATGAATTTTCTGTCTGAAAGTTGGTGAGCCGCATGTTCACAACTTTCACTTTAAGTGCCAATGTAGCTTGTAGGGTTGTGAAAACTGTTGACTTTATGAAAGATTAAGTGATGTTGATAATGTACTATAGCCGAGGAGAAACTAGTGCATTTCTGTGTGGTAGTGGAAGGTAGTGTACCTTTTAATATCATGTCAGTACTTGTGTATGTCTGAGAATGTTTGTGTCTGTGTTATTAGAATTTATATGCATGATGTAATGAAGACTGACAAATACTTCCAGAATGAAGATTGTGCTACGACAGGGTATATATGTGATGGGAAGGGTAAGTTCGCCAGATTAATAAAACTTTTTTCTCAGGTTTTTAAAATAATCATTTGTTGTTCCTTTTAAAATTTTAAAAATAAGCATACATTGGATTGGTGGCTAGTGACAGTGACAATTCTTTATTCAGTGTCTCTATACAATTTTTACCCATGTAGAAATTCTTTTAGCTCGCCGTAGAAATAGCTTTTTTCAAAACTTTTATTAACAAAGTTTTATTTCTACACATGTCATGTAGCCTTCTGCTTACTTCATTTTATTTTTGTATTATAACAATATTTTTGTATTTCAAAGGAACCTCTCTCATGTAGAAGTGAAACTAACGAAAGAAACTAAAGTGATGGATTTGGCAGTTGTTAAAAAATTTTTTTAATTTTTTGTTGTTGAAATAACAATGTTCTTATTTTGTTGATGCAGATTATTTAGTTTCAGGCTTGTGGAAACTGTTTAGCTTTGTTCTTGCCATATTCCAAATTCTGAAAATGTGTAAAATTGAATTGATATGGTCAAATGAAGGCCCAATTACTTACAAATCAATTTTATTTTGTTCTTTCTTTGAATCTCAAAAATTCATTAATTTTTTTTGCATGTCATTCACTCAAATGAAGGAGGCATTTTGAAACTGTTTGGTATAATTATTATTATTGTTTCATTAATACCTATATTATTCGACTGCAATTTGATAAATTTATCTCATACAGTCAAACTTCATTATACTGCCAGGTTTTGCTGATGAACGCAAAGGAGCACCTCTATATTAGCATACTATATTTGCCTCTTTAACTTCAATCACCATCCTCCTACTGATTCGTGGTCCTTCCTAATGCAGTTGCTCTGGAGCACTGCCAGCAAACTGACCACCAGAGGTGCACTCTGCACTCTGCGCTTGGCACCCACTGAGCAGCTGCTCAGTGATATGCTCCCTTTTTCCCACACATGCCTCTATGAGGTAAAGGTAAGAGTTAGTGCTTGTCATTGATTTACTTCCTTCCTGCCCATCCCATCTCCTCAACCTTGTTTTGTAGAATTTAGGCAGTATGCATTTGACAAATAACCTCTGATCCTGCAGAGGATGTAATTTCAATTTGAATCTGTTCACACACACTCAGAAAAAGAAAGAAAAAACTCCCTGCTCTAAAATACATGCAATTCACCAACAAAAAGACACTTCTCAAACACACAGATCAGTCAGCGAAATATTTCCCTTGACGTTGAGCAGCCAGATCTGTTTATCAGATTACAATTACGCTGACAGCATTAAAAACCTGGTATAATACCGGCTCTGCCATTGTTACTAAAACGCCAACTTCGTGTTTGTCCCAACGGCAATTTAATTATGATGAGGTTTGACTGTAAATACAAACCACTTCCAGTATTGTTTCAATTAGACCCCTTTGTAAATTATATTTAAATTGTGAGTCCAAGCCAAGTTCATATTCGTAATTATTAAGTGCACACATTCCAGATCGACTTTTCCAAATATCAGATGCATGAAAACATTTTTGTGCAGAAATGGAGGTTGTTGTTTTTTTTAATCCTAAAGAAAATATTACACTTAAACTCCTTGACTGCCATGCCTCTCAGACTTGTTGATGTGTCAGGGCTTATCTAAGCAATCTGTGAGATTCTTCCCTTTGTTTTTCATGTTAACATGATAATAACCACATGTCTTTGCTGCTCTTGATTTTCTGACAGTACTTTCAGTTAGGTGGAGACTCTTCTTTTCTGAGACAAAACTGTGGCGGCATGTTTTTGCTGGGCTGGGGGGGGGGCTTTGAACTTTTGTTAAGAAATTCTTAGCTCGCTTCTGGTTTTTCAGAGCGAAATCTGGAAAACATTTCACCTGATAATTTCAATAGGCTGATGCTTTCATGCAGTGACCAGAACATAAAAACCAGCATCTGTTCTGTGGCAGTTAGGCTTTTTGCCATTGCTCGCAGTGGACTGGAGTTCAATGTTCAAGTCAAATTTTTATATTGAGTATCTTCAGCTGTCTGGTGGGATGTCTCCACCTCAACTCAGATTGGCCTTGACATGCAACATCAAAGCAGACCGTCTCCTACGCAATACAAATTGTTTCAATGAATGCATGAAATGCTCATTTTTTTTACAATTTTTTTTCACATCAGCACCATGTCCATCCTTATTTCATTGCAACTCAAAGCTGTAATATGAAAATGGCTACTTAGATATATTTAATGCATGTTTTATCTGTGGCGTCCTTTTTTTCCCCCAATAAGTAAATTATGTACAATGAGCATATGAATGTAGCCTGCCTACCTTTATTTACTTCGCACTCCTGCACAAATTTGCTGAATGGGTTAGGGTTGGGGTCATGCAGAGATGATATTAACAGAACTGATGTCTGGGTTTGCTCCATGGTGATGGGTTTCCTATTCTTCCGTATATTTCCTTGAAAATGTTTGAAATATAACTCCATGCAAGTCAACTGATTTGAGTCTTTTGTTTTTCTTTATCATGCTTACATTTTCTTCCAGTGAAGCTTACTGTAAGAGACCAAGACCAGTTTTCATGGAGTGGAGTAAGTTATACTTATCACACAAAAGGCCCTGCATATGTTCATTTTATGATCTATCGTCCTTATTGTCTCACTTTTTTCTTTTTTGTGTTTGTTGTTCTTTTCTTACACCTCTGTTCGTTCCACTTTTATGACCTAGACCTAATTGTGTTGCAAGTGTACTAAAACAGTTACTATAAAACAAAATCCTTTTCCATACAGTGGAATCCTGTCATAACGAGAGGGAGGGGACTGGTGCGAAATGTCCGTTATAGCAGGATTCTCGTTATAAGGCATCCAGTCAGTAATAAATTCAAGGGAAATAGTAAAGTAGGCCTAATCTATGAGTCTAATGTTGTTTATTTCTTTTTGTTATCTCCCCTGATTTTGATTTGGTTCAACATGACCTCTAGGTCTTATTTGATCAAAAATCGAATCACATTTCTTTTCTAGTGCTAGCGATGTTGACAGCACGGCGTTGGCGATCAGAAAGAAAGTTCTCTAGGCTAACTCGCCCGCGTAGTTGTCTCCTACCCCACCACTCCCTATGGTGCGTTCTGTCTGGTTGGGCGTGTCACACAATCGCTCCATCCATTAAATCGCTGTGACCTCTCCATCTCCGCATTGGAGAAGTGAGAGGTGTGGTAGACCTAGATAATCTAGACTAGGCTGGCCTATCACACGATGCGTTCTGCTTGTCTGCACATGCCACACCCTCCCCACTCATTCGCTCTGACCTTCGTTGTTGGCACACGTGGGTTATCCCGTTATTTGTTTCACAAGATCACCAACAAGTTTCTCAACTGGCGAATAAATGGCCAATGTGCTGTGCACAGCAGCAGCAATATTCCGCTATAACCGACTCCAGTGTTTGTCTGATGGCGCTATAGCAGAGTTTTATTTACGAAAATAAAGATGGGAAAAAAATGGGGTTTTAGAACAGTGTCTTTATAACAGCCTCTCGTTATTTCAGGACTTGTAAGTGGATTCCACAGTATTGAACTTTCCTTATACTTGGTATTTCATATATGAAAAGAGTGCGAAATTTTCTGCAATGCTGTGTATTGCTTGCTTGCTTGTCAGCACAGAGAGGTGTGTAGTCAAGAGTATCAAATAGGTTACCTTCTTCCACACACTCACTTTTGTAATTGCTTGTCCTACAAATTTGATCAGGCATGGAGATTTTCTGTGAATTTACGGAAATCCGTAATTTTGATTTGCTGAAGCAGTAATACAACCAAACACATCATCTTCTGGTCCCTGATGCCTGTCTACCTACTTTCAATGGTGAGTCCTTCTACCATGTCAACTAATCTTCAATTGAATAAGTATATTTTCCCAAATCTGTATAGCCTGCGAAAAGTTCAGTAAATTTTCGACTGATCAGTTTCTATCCGTTTTGTTGTGATTAAGATTCTACAGGTTATGAAATTTTCAACAAGTGCACTTGCAAAGCTCAATCAGCTGGTTTGGATTTAAACAATTTCGGGGGATAATTTCATGAAATCAAAATCTCTGGTTTGTAATTTTCGAAAGGACATGAACAAGGCTGTCCAGCAATGAGTAATCGGTCACATTATTTTCTAACAGGGACACAAGCAGTACTCTTAAGTAAAACTTCTACCTTGCAACCGTGTTGTTTGAACATCAGGAGTATTCAGCTCTGCACTGAATCTTCCAGGTCACGAAAATACAGTGCCTTGTTGTGATGCAGAAAAAAATTAGAGCAATAATTCGTTATAAATATTTCTTTCTGCGAAAACAGCCTTTATAGTACAGGTCTGTCTCAATTGCTAGTTTAAAAAAAAAAAATTAATAAATTGATACCTTTAGGGAAATTTGTTTAACATTAACTTAACAAATACACATAAATAGCAAGATATACCTGTATAGATCAATTGTACAACACATACATAACAAGCGAAAATCACTTTAAACCATGTGGATTGCTTGTGTTTTCTTTATATTTATTTATGAAGTACACAAAAACCTGTATACACTGGATGTATCAATGGGGAAAAAGTTACACATGAGGCTCTCCTTTGTGACACTTTTAACAAACAGATCAACTGCATACTGTATAGATTCACCTGAGAAAGAAACAGATCTGATCTCTGTAATAATAAATATACCGACGACATCAACCCTATCAAAGGTACTGACCTAGCAGAATAAGATCAGTTTAAATATCAACATGGCATCAAAATACATAAACAGGTAACATAAAGCTGGAGAAAGACATCAAATAAACTAAAATGGGAGTAATGACTTGTCATAGGTGTAAAACTTGCCAGTATCACTGACAGACAATGAATCGACTACCTTCAGCATGCAGTCCACAGAATGAGACACAGTGAAAAGTGTCTTGACATTCTTATGGTATGGCCGAGATAAATCCGTGTCAACCGTCCCTGGATGTAAAGAGATGCAAACAACTTTCTTCTGACCTCTGCCAAGTTCTATACTCAGATTCTTGGTCGACATATTCAGAGCAGCTTTTGACATTCTATAGCTGTACCAGCCTCCAAGTCCTGAAAGATAAAGAGGAAAAGCTCCCAGTCAAAGAGAATTAAGCCTAGTCAATTTGAGCAAGTGGAGCTACATCCACAGCCATAAAACACAGGGAAAAATAAGACAGAAACACCGGAAAGAAAGAAAACAAGTACGACTTACCAGTGGCCCCCTGTGCCCTCTGACCAACCACGACAGAAACAGAATCTCAAAGAGTTCAGGGGATACGTTACAAACCTTTCATAAAAACTGGTAAAAGTATCAGAAGACTACTTGAAGAAGCCAGAAGGTTAAATACAAAAATGCAAAATAAATTTTTTTTTGCTAGACATGAGAAATAGAACAACAGCAAGGTGGTACAGTCCAGTCCATTTATAACAGCCTCTTCTATTGTTATTACAGGAGCTTGGATAGCAGTGAAAAATCAAATCCCTGGGGTTTTTTTTTCTCTATAAGTGTAAGTAGTATGAACCTGGCTCTTACAGGGTACAATTAATGCAGGCTCAGATCATATAACTGATTTCACAGCGTATGAACTTGTTTTCGATCCGTCAAATTATTAAAATTTGTCGCAACCAAGACAATTTCGCCTGTTTGTATGATCACTTGTCTAAACACAAACGTTCAAACACAAAAACCCCGCCCCCATAGTGTTGGGGGTCACTGATAGATTCCGTCTTAGTGTCAGCAAAACAGCCCACAGGTAAAGGATCTGCGGAATCGAATATAAGCTGAAGGTGCAATGGTACTGGTAGTTCCCCTTGATAACAGTTATAACAGGACTCGCTTATTACAAGGAAAAACTGCCAGTCCTGTTAAATCCGAGTTTGACTGTACTTGTTTTATTTTATTACCAACAAATGCTAACATTACTAACAATAAGAAATAAAAACACCAGCTCATCATTGAATAGTAAACTATTGTTCATTGTGCCTCTTTCTGGAAAATAATGAAACAAGCTATGGTTCCCAGCCAATACCTTACTCACACAAAACATTACTGTAGTAACTTAAAGGTCAAAGAGTTAAACCTTGCTGCAGTCCAGGAAGACTGAAAAAGGAAGATAGAATTGCTTGGAATACAACAAACATGAATTATCATCGATGAAACAGCTCAAAGACGTGTTCTTTGTCAACTTAAACTTCACCATTGAAACTCATTCCATACTGTTCTCTGTGGTACAACGGTTATGTTCATTGCCACCACAGGCAGAAGACCTGAGTTCAATTCCTTAGTGAGGAAGCTTTTTTTAAAAATCAAGTCTCTCCATCTGTCTGCTGGAGAATCCCACTCAATCGGAGTTGGCCCTAACAAGCACATGGAACTTGTCCTTTCCCTCACCCATACCGGTCATCCAGCTTACATCAGAAACTTCCACAAAGCGAAATTTTTCCGTCACTCTCTCCGAAGTCTGTAGCTTAAAATTACAGGTTCAGACATGTATGTATATTTTCAGTTCTAAAGTTTCTACAAAAACAAAAGTCCCTTTTCTACTACTACTCACTACTCACCATTGTCTTGTATAGACCCAACCTTAGCACTCATGTTGACCAGAACAGCACAGTGTTGACTTTTCTTCTCTGTACTCTGTGTACCGATGAGTCCATCGCCTTTCATCAGGAGAGGAGTGAAATGTTTGGCCATGAGCAGTGGCCCCACTGCATTGGTTGACAGAGTTTCCAACAGCCCCTGAGAAAAGAAAAAATCAGAAAGAAAACAGAATCCCTACATAAAATACACGTAGATGTAGTAATCTGGCATTCATTCAGTCTGACTTTAAACTCCTTACTAAGCATCTTTACTCACACATATCACTCTAAAACTAAATGGTTTTCTTGTACCCAAGTGATTCACTGGTGTCTGTGAGTTAATGTTTAGGTCATTTTATCAAGTATCTCCATCTGTCTTCTGAGAAAATATATTCCACACAGCCCGGGTTGGCCATGTCAGGCAGAGTTGAAGATATCCCCCCCACTGGAATGATGTAGATGTTTGTCGACGGGAGCGTAAAACATTTACAATCAACCAAGCGATTCCATCCCCTTCTCTAGTTCTGTTGCACCTTAAAGATTGCAAGATTTCATCTGACCTTTAATAATAATAATAATAATAATAAAACAGTCAAACCTCGTTGAACCCCCCCCCCCCCTCCCTGTGGTACTGCCAGCCCTGGATACCGCCAGGTTTTGCCAATGTACAAAAAAAATCCCCTATATATAAACATAGTATTTGCGCCTTTACATCGCCACCTACCAACTGTCTCAGTTGTACGGTCCTTATTAAACTACAGTAAATTTATCCTGTTGTACCGCTAAATGAGGTTGTGCTTGAAAGCCCACATGGGACGCTCACGGTTAAAAACAATCAGGAAATGACAAATGTAGTTTTTGGGACACCTGAATAGACATAAAGGTCTTGAACATCTAGCTCTCACTGGCAAAATTGAAGGCAAACGAGGCAGGGGTATGCCTAGAGCAACCTACTTAAGGAACCCTAACAGATGGGTAAGGGGGAAAGATCGGGGAAATCTAGATTTTGTAAGAGCGACCAAGCAAAGGACTTAATGGAGAAGCATGATCGCCGATGTCTGCCGCAGATCTGGCACTGGATGACCACCAGCAAACTGGCCATCAGAACTACACAGTATACACTAAGCTATACCCGGCGCAGGGCACATCCACTCGGTGGTTGCTTAACAATATTTCACACACAAGTCTCTACGAGCTAGGCCCAAGTCTAGATCAGATAGGCAATATGGGTAAATCTACAGTGATAAAGCATGTCATAAGTGAACACAATACAATGTACAATGTAGAAGAGTACAATTAAAATAAAACATGGCTTTAATTCAGCACCAAATTTCGCTACCCACTTGATGCCTTTGGTCTTTTTTTTTGTAATTGGAATAACATTTTTAGGTCGCCTGATGCAACTTTAAAGGAACCCTGCCATCTCAAACCCCCCCTCCGGCAAAATATCTGGTGTAGCCAGAAATCAACCCAAAATAACTTACAGGCTGGCACACTCCGGTGGGGCTTTTATTTAGTTCAAAGACTCATGCTCAAATGACAGATCGTTGTGCAGTTAGTGCTACATGCATTTAACAAAGGACATGAAAACCTCATTGTACCGCCAGTCCAGCTGTACTGCCAAAATCATGCTGGTCCCAAGGTAGGCGATATAATACTGATTGTTCTTGGAAGGGAAATACGAAGACATTCGACAAAATTCTCCCTACATAGGAATCAGCCTCATGCTTGTTTTCTGGGTGCAATGGCGAAATGCCGTACCACTACATCATAGACGTTGTCGCTGGAGGCTTAGTCATTTCTACAAAGATTACATTTAGTACCAGGATATTGGAGAAAAAAAATTTATAGAACTGCAAGTCTTGTTACATTCATAACCAAAGGACTTACATGAATGTAAAAAATCACTTACCTCTTGAGAAACTGACTTCAAGCTTGTTTCTCCTCTACCTGAAGGGTGCAACATTCCAGCACAGTTTATCAGTAAATCAACTTTCCCATACCTGTGAATTCAATATCCTCATGATACTCAGTGTTATCACAGTTGACGTGGAAAACATTAAAGAGTCATTTTAACCCATGGACTGACACACTCAAGCTTCTATTCTAGTTTCTTCACCCTTCCAAAACATTCTAGTTTATATAATGAAAGCATCTAGATCACATTCTTACATTGCCATTGAAACAGACATTGACAATGGTGGTTCGCCATTAATTTCTCTGCTCATAGATGCTCTTTAAACAAACAAAAAACAATGTGTATATATTATTATCCTGGTCTTTTCTCTTCACTCCTCTGTTCAAGTTCTCAAGGCAAGTTACTTTTTGTCTTTTTCTTCCTCTTTAGCTGTCTGTTTTTTTCAGTGAGAGCAAGATGTTCAAGGCCTATTATGTCAATCCAAGTGTCCAAAGAACTACATTTGTTTCTTCCAAATTGTTTTGATTAGTGAGCAGCCAATGCAAGCCTCTTTCACGCTGAAAGTTTCAGCACTACTTCATTTGATTTTTCCTCTAATGAAACCTTCAACAAATTCCTGAGAAACCACATTTCTGTTGCTTCTATTTTATCTTCACTATCCTTGATAATTGTCCAGCACTCACAGCTGAGTAGAAGGTTTATTCACACATTGCCTTATACCACCCATGTGATTACTGCCATTGAGATGTTTCTTTTATTTATAACAGAATCATTTTAATGAAACTATCCTTTTCTATGGCAATTCTGTTTTTGGTTGTTTTGTTTTTTTTTGGTTTTCGAGGTCACATCTGCCATCAAATGTAATAAAAAATCGTAGATATTCAAACCTTTTTAATCTTCTCGACTTTCCCTTTGAGATGATAAAAAAAGATTTACTTCTTTCTTAGATGAACTGGTATAAACTGCAACACATTTGGGAAGCAAGCCATACAAAAGCAGCATCAGTGGCCAAGGTTCAGTTCAGCTAGAGCTTGTCCACTAAAGTAGGCCAGTGCTCAATTGCAGAGCTGTAAGATTATGCACAGGGGCCTTAGCTGCCCCCTCTTAACCAGCTGGGAGACTTTAATGAAAGTGGATCTTGGCTAGAGCATGTGAACTGAGCTCCTGCACTCAGGGTAGTGTATTTTTGGCCCAAGCAAGTATTGAATGAAGAACCAGAGAAGGTTGATGTGTACACACACACACACACACACACACACACACACACACACACACACACATACACACACACACACACACACACACACACACGGATATGATAGGCCAAACTGTTTGAATCATTAAAAAATAGTTTAGTCGGACAATTTATGGTGCTAGCAGCAGAGGGTTGTTGTTAACGGCAAAGGTTGCTGTTAAAGGGTGTCTAAACAGGAAATTTCCATTAAAAAGGAGCTTCGGTTTCGGTTAGACGAGGTTGATCTTATGATCTGGGTTGCTGTTCAGTGGACACCACTGAATTAACATGCATTCTATTTTCTTCTTTTTTAAATCATTCGCTACGCCGAGCCGTGGGGGGCGGCGCGGCTCAAGTGCCGTCAGTACGTTAAGCCGCCCCCGGCGGCTCGAGAACCGACGTTCAATTTTAGCTTGGTTTCTATTCCAATCCACTTATCCATGTTAAAATAAAGGTCATAATATAATGTTGACTTCCGGGTCAAGCGTTTCCACCGAAAATCGGAAGTTTTGATTCAGTTTTCAAACATGATTTCGTAGTTTATTCGACTTTGTTTTATCGCGAAGCCCAAATTATAGCCCAGACACCATTCTTAGTACTTTTACACAACAAAATGTATAATTATTTTGCTCACTAAAGAAGTGTAGGACTCTTCTTTATAATATTGATACTATTGGACGCAAATTGCCAGTGCACTGTAATTGAGAAATCAATATTTTTGAGTGCTAGATCTAGGCCTAGATCTAAAGAGTCAAAATATTTTTTTCTCCCCAAAATCACTACTTTTGGGTGAAATTAATCAAAAAGTACCACTCAAGACATGTATAGGTTTATTCCAAGTGCAATTCTGAATAATCCCATATAAGTTACACATATTTTTTTCTGTTTGTGATCCTTTTTTCAAAATTATTTCTAAAATTATTTTTTTTCAATATCGGATGTTATGATCCAAATGTACAAATATTATGGAATGTATGTAAATAACTGCACATTTTTCAATATTTTCCTGTTCTATATACAGTTATGGTTATTTTGAGGTATCATTTGACTAGGTGCAAACATGTTTTTTTAGTTTCACCTGAGATTATAATTTTTTTATTTTCCAATTTTATCCGCATCCAATCACAATTGTGTTGCATAATCGCCTCTTACAGGAACCAAAGTTGAAAAATACGCAAATAAATAATGCAGGTGTATTCTACAAACCATACTGAAAATGTTGGTATATAGTATGTTGATATTTATTTGAATTTATGGCCCCAAAGACCTGTGAACTGCGCACTAGTCATCATCTCATTTCGCCCTCCCGAAAAGAATTCGTCCACAAGCCGAAAATAATACGTAGCGAAAGAGTTAAAAATATCCCTCTGCGTTCACTTTCAGTTAAAACAGTACCTAAACAATTGAACACCCTCTGAATCTGCTATGGTAACTTTATCACCAACATATTATCTGATTTATTGTGATAATAACTGAATTCATTTAAAGACTTGGATTGTTTTCTATATTTTTAGATTGTTACACTTTATATATGTATACCTCAAATTACAGAGGGTTAAAAAAGCTGTGGATCAAAACGGCAGCTTCTCTCTAGTGAATCTTTCCTTCTTACTCTTCATATCACAATTACTCTGAGGGTGTTATTCTATATATTAGGCATAACAGGAAGAAAAAGGTCAACGTTTTTCTCGTTCTGCAACGATTGCTGAAGTCTATCGGCATGCAGTGAAAACAGTTTAACGAACCATGGATGAACTTTCTGTCTTCTCCCATTATTTTATAAAGAACAAGGGGTTTTGTTTGCCTGATAAAAAGTTTTCAGGAAACCAGTAACATGATTTGAGTATTAATTAGTCATGGATTTTTAATTTAACATAAACTTAAAGAGAGGTAATTACTCAAGTTTGAGGCACTGATTTATCTCAAGCGATCATACAAATTAGCAAAATGTAAGGCTACAAAACTTGATCCACACACACCTGTTACTAACTTCTTGAGCAGCAGAAATTATATCTGCCTCATTTGTCATATCAAGAGGTAAGACTGACAGAGAGTGTTGATGTTTGTCCTTCAGATTCAGCAGGCCTTCAGACTGACTGGGATTCCTGCAAGTAGCGATGACTTTGCACACATTTCTGCTCAGAAGAGCACTGCAAAACTGAAGACCAATTCCACGACTGGCACCTGCAATTAGAGGTTATTTGAATTTACTTTTAAATTATCAGTTGCAGAAACAAAAGGAAAATATAGTAGTAATAGACAGTTGTTGTGTTTTTTAAGCTGAATCACGCCACTTATTGCAAAAGACTTGCAAGTGCTTAACAGATGATACATGATGCATGTCATGTTATTACAGCCACTAAACTCTTTAAACCCTGAGTTTTTGCAACCCATTTCCATGCAAGAGTATTTTCCAGGCACCTAAGCCTGGTGCACCTTGCCTCAGATTTTTAACCCCTACAACATTGCATTATTCCGTGAAAACACACACAGTAGAGTTTTGTACCAATTTAATAAGGGAAAAATGAATTAGTAAGATTGAATAAATTTTTTTTTTTAATACAGGTTTCTGGTCCTGATATGGTTTGCCATTCCCATTAGAACACGCTTTCTGATTCTGGATCACTCTCCAGTTCCGTACATCATTTTCACAACTATCACAGTTCCCTCAAGCTTGAGTTCTCACCATCATCTAAGAATCAAGTGCTACTCAACTCTTCGAGTTGAACTTCTTCTTCTAGCAGCTGAGATGCCTTATTATACAGACTCTGACAATAAAGTCACAACCAGGGAAATGAATGAAAGCCTGACATTATTGTTAAAGCATATATATATATATATAACACCATTGCCATTATTATGGACAGTTCTGATGAGTGACAGCAAACTACAGCAAATAATAATAATAGTCAGGAAAGTCTGATGATGGTGTCGACAGGAATTACCTAATACAGTCGACGCCGCTTGTGTTGAACTCGTTTGAGTTGATCTTTGGCTTAAGTTGATTTTTTCTCAGGTCCCAGCACCTGGGATCTTCTTTACAATTTATTATAAATGGTTTTTAAATCTATTTTTCACCCCCCCCCCCCCATGACATAAACTCATCCGAAGTCAGTTCTTCCATTATGTAAAGAAGTAAGTTCACAGTCCAAAGCAAAGCACACAGCCTTTTTAATTTAAAAAATCATTATGGCATGGTTACTGGACCAGAGTTTCCATTATCAATATATATATATGTATCAAATACTACTTTCCAAACTGGTTATCCAAAGTGAAACCGTGTCCATTAGTCATAGCTAAATTTAAACAGGAAGTACAGTAGTCTCCGCCTAAGATCCCGGAGCAAGGAAAATGCGGCATCTTAGCCAAAGGACCAAGGGAAGAAACTACGGTGACCGATGTTAAGGCCCACAACTGGTAAAATGGTCTCCCTTCACTCTGAAATGAATTGACGTGACCCCTGGGTGGGTTTATGATATATGTGGCGAGCAGAGTTGTCAACCTTGATGACCCATTATCACAGTGGCTTGAGGCACGCCATTTACACGTACTATCCTATCGGATCATGAGTCTCAAGTTCTACGTTTATCCAATTGCCCCTACATCCCCTTATATCAGTCCAAAATTTGCTCTCCATCTCTGACCAAGTTCCCCCACCTTTGTCGTTACACATCATTACGTTGCGACCACACCAATTAAAATTTAGTCTGTCTTGCAAATTTACTGCGGCAATGGAAGGAAGAGTCCACAGTTCAATGTGATCCTGGAGGAATGTGTGGCCCTTCCCATCCAGCAAGTGACGTTAGTTTTGGTGGAGAGCTCAGACGCAAGTGCGATGTTTGGGGTAACAAACGCGTCGGTCATATTCTCGTAAGTGGTGTGATCTTTGACGGAGACTACACTTATTATTAAATTGGTACCGTACCTTGAACAACACACACAGCAGCCATTTCAAATCCTCCTGTTCCAGTGTACGTATCCTTTCTAGAATCTGGACAAAGCCTACTGCCAGCGTCAGCGGTCGTCAGCAGGGATTGTGCGCTTTTGTTTTGTTCTTGGTTGTTTCAGAGAATTGAGTAAAAGTTCATTTTAGGAGCGTAAATTATTAGACTCAATACTTGACGAAGCACTTTACCAGACCCAAACAAAAATAACACGCTAATGCTCACATTTATAGATCTAGGGGGTAATAATTGTCAGTTATAGATCTAGATCTAGTTCTTAGCATGGCAAAAAACATGTCCTCGTTATGAAACTTGTTACGAAAAACAAATTCATCGAGATAGGACGAGAAGAGATCACAGGTTGTGCCGAACTGTCTCTATGAGATTTTTGTTTAACGTGCATCTATTCAATTAACATGTTATTGTTGCACATTGGGTCTAATGTCGGTGATTTTGTAGTTTCGTTCATTAAAGTCCAAAGCTGAACGCCAGAGACCCTGAATTGCTAGGTAATCGTTGGGGAGTGAACTAAGCGTGAGACTGGAAGGAAACACTACAGCCAGAAAATCAAAATTCAAGCAAAGAATGACGCTTTTGCGGCAGTTCCCAACCCCCAATTATTATTCGCTGGATTGGGCCCCACGAGACAAAAGTAGGGGGGTTTCAAGGGGGCTTGGCCCCCTGACCCAACAAAAACATGGGGGGGTTGGGTCTGAACTTTACCATAATTTGATGTTTTGCAGTTAGGTTGCGTCCCTGCTCTTTGTGCTGCTTATTTGGTCAAAGACTTCCGGATTTCTTCTCTGGATGTAAACAAATGGTTCATGGACCTTAAGGGGCTCTTCAAATATAATCTTTACACCTTTTTGGGGACTTTTTGACCCCCCCTTTCTTACACTTTTTTTACATCCCACCCCCTTCCACAAAAGCTTAACACTCAAGCGGTTGACTGTATCAGAAACAAAATTATATCTAGATATACTTAAAATTACTTAAACAAAGAAGGTAAAAAACGGGACCACAGTTAGGTGTTGACTGAAAGCAAGAGTAGACTTTTAAGCAAGTTGACTATCACGATTCCACTGTATCCACCGTTATTATTACTGATCATTATGCTGAAAACAAAAAGTGAAATTAGTTATCATCAACAAAGGCAGTGTTCATCAGTATGTCAAAAATATTTTTCACCTCACAAAATGACAAAAGTGTGATTATATTACATTACATTAGTTCAAGACACCGCCCCCCCCCCTTTCTTACACTTTTCTTACAGGAGCCAAAGATACCCCCCTTCCGAGGCATAAGATTATATTTAAACGGCCCCTGACCAACGGAATACAAGATACCCTAATGTCTAATGTGCTACAAACGTCATGTAAGTAATTTGGCCTTCGAAGTAATTTACGTGTTTTTGTTGTACATTGAGTCTAATAATTTACGCACCTAAAATGCACTTTTACCAAGTATTTAATTATAAAGGGGGTGGGGGGGGGGAGGCAACTCTGAACTTACACTTACACTTACACTTAGGACACTTAGGTTAGGAAGTCTTAGGTCTTAGGCCTGGATTACACGACAATTATTATAATTAAAATAGCAAAGCCTATCAAAATATTGAGGCTTGGGCTTGGGACTTGGCTTGGGGCTGGGGAGATCACTTCTTTGTTTTTAGAATCCTCTTCCAAATTCCACGACTAATGAAAAAAACCACACAAAACGGGCAGCAAATACTGTGTTCTGGTACCCGGCACAGTTGCAGTAGGTCGTGGTCGTGTGACTTTTCCTGCAGCAACAGCGGCTGACTTCCCAGCTGATTACACAATGATTGGACTACCTTCAGAAACGAAAGTAACCTTACTGTACTGCTAGCTGGTTTTCCTAGATTTTATAAAGGAGTTTTGTTCGTACAATTTTATGTTCGAGTTATTTCAAATGTTTTTTGTTGCATTTATTTATTGTTACACATGATTGCACAATTTAGATAATTTAGGAGGCAGTTTGCCTCGACCAAGCCAGTCAGACTCAGCCAAGGCCTGAATGGGATACATGGAATACCTGCAGAAAGATGCATTCGAAATATGAGAATAGGAAATGACTAAAACAACAACAACAACAAACAACAACTATATTCAACTGGTAGGCAACAATCGCTGCAAAACAGACGCCAATTGGCCTAGTCTATTTCGCTACTTTTATAATACAATAATATGATGTAAAAAGTGCAGCATAATAATTGTGTCACGACGCGGTGGTCAGGAGCAGGTCAGTTTTGGGGGCATTGGGGAGTTATTGGTGCCATCTTAAATCGTGTCCATTTGTCTTACTTTTTAAAAATTAGTTATTTCTCTCTCTCTCTCTTTCTCTCTCCACCCCTCTCTCTCTCTCTCTCTCTCTCTCTCTCTCTCTCTCTCTCACACACACACACACACACACACACACACACACACACACACACATGCACACATCACACAATTGCACGCACATACAATCGCACGAACACACACACAATCACACACACACACACACACACACACACACACACACACACACACACACACACACACACACAAACACATACACACACAAACATACATACAAACTCTTTCTCTTCCGTCTCTCTCTCTCTCTCTCTCTCTCTCTCTCTCTCTCTCTCTCTCTCTCTCTCTCTCTCTCTCTCTCTCTCTCTCTCTCTCTCTCTCATCCTAGTTAAAATTCCTATGTAGGCCTATAGGGTTATTCCTATTATGTCCTATATGATACCAGCAGGAAATAATAATGATAATATTATTCTTATTTTATATTGTGTAATTTCACAAGATATAATTACTGCCTTTCGTGGTTTTTCATTTACTGGAAAATGAAAGGCTATTTAGACATAAATGTACATCCATGTAATGAATTGTGGGTTGGTCTGTGAGGTAGATATTGCCGTGTGTTACGCATTACATTAAAACTCGGATTCAACGAAATCGAAGATCAGACCCCGTTATATCACAGTTTCACTGTAGGCCTATAGTACAAGTCTATGAAGGTTTCATGCTGTCATTTTAACTTCTCTGTTTAAAGTGTAGATCTAGTTAACGACTATTAGATTAATGCACAACATGCGCTTGATGAGTTATTTATTGCGTTATAAAACAAATTTCAGCATTCTGTTGATCATTCGTTTCGGGCAAGGAAGTTGTTTTGTTTTAAATCTAAGGCCTGTAGTTGCCAACAGGGGCGAAGGCTGACTTGTTTGACAGGGTAATCAAAGTGAAACGGGACCAGATATGGCCTGTAGATATGACACAAGAATCTTACT